CTCCACTCCCTCCCTCATCATAGGAGCCTCGATATATTCCCCCCCATGACCCTTCCCTTCTCCACGTCCTTTCCTCCCCACAGACTTACTGGCCAGATGCTGGTCTCCAAGTTGTCAGGCTATATTCCAGGCTGTGTGCATGCTGCGGCTGTGCACATGCACGCGGCATTTATTGGTGACATTATTGGCTACACTGGCCCAAAAAGGCCGATTGCTGATGATGTCAGTTTTCCTTTTATTGGTGCCAGTCTGATATGGACTGATATACTGGTGCACCTCTACGTTATACCTATGGCTTGATTTAGTCCTGCAGCCCCAGAGATCAAGGAGGCACAAAGTGATGCTAAACAGAGCTCTGGTGCTGCTCAGGATTCTGGTGCCTGCAGGACAGTGTGGGGAAGGCGATTTATAATCCTGTCTTGCAAAGGACGTTATTAAAGGGAAATGAATTTATTAAACTTCTGGGTGTGCTGTGACTACTCTTAATGATACTACTTGAGAATACTGAACTGGTTAACTTTATCCAAATACTGATTTACCAATAAACAAGCTGGCATGATTGATATGCCTGCATGTTGTGTAGCAATAGCAGCCACATAGCTCAGCAGGCAAGAAAGTAAACCTATGAACTGAAAATTGTCAGCTTCTTGATACTTTCATGTTGCCAACTTCAGGGAGGCTGGTTCCCTGCCCCTCCCTATCTTTGCTGAGTATTTGCTGAAACTTGCTTGACATCTTATTTGGTAAGAGGTAGGATGAAATGAAATGGAAATATACACACAGTAGAAGTAATGCTACTCTATGGTCTGCTGAAATTATTAAGGCAACTTGTATTTGGATCTGTATACATGAAAAATGCTGTGTAAATACACACTAATCACTAATCAAGGCCTTTCTGCCTTGCCCCAGTGCTAAAACCTCTGGTATGTTCCCAGCACCTCCCCATTCTTATGCAAGCTGGAAAACTATTGAATCCAACCAGTAAAACACACAACATTAAAAACTGCCCTGTGTAGCCTGAAAGTATTAATAAGCAAGATGACCAGAAGCTGAGCTGCTGTCGCTGCACTTATTTCAAAGTAAACTTTGTTAAAAGGTTGACAGTGTTTTGGTACTGACAGCACAAATAAAAAGAGTGATGGGTTCCAGGTTTTTTAAAAATTTAAATAATTTTGAATGATTAGATTTATTTAATATATAAAATAATCTTAGAGTAGAAGTGAATAAATAGATTTCTTGGCAACAAGACTTTCTTAAATTCAGCTATTTTAACCAGGAGCAGTTTTCTCTGAACATTGAACATGGTAATGTTGTAGTTGAAAACTTGAATATAGCTATACGTTTCTTACTACATATGAGGAATGTCTGATAAATATTTTACAGCTAATTAAATATCCTTTTAAATATATTGTGTTCTGAAATGCTCCATTGTTGAGAGTGATATTCTTCTACCTAGCAATGGAGAAAACTCCCAGTAAAAGGTTGAAAGGGAAGAAGAAAAAAACGGTTAAATATGTTGTGATTTTTTTAGTATTGCAATAGAACACATTTAAATAAGGGAACCATGCTCTACATCAGATAGTAAAGCATGTATTTCACTATGATTATTAAATTACATATACGTTTATATATTTTTACTGTGCCATGTGTTGCCATTTTTACTCTTTAAAAATGGGTAAGATTGAAATTCTCTGCCCCCAGCCCATACCACTAAGGCCCTGGTTCTGTGAATGCTTAGAAAAGCACTCCCTTTTCAGTATATGAAAAGTTCCACTGCTGTTACTGGAGCTACTTACATGTTTAACATTTATCAGGTGTACAGTGCAAAGTGTTTACAGGATTGGGGATTCAGAAATATTCACTTTGTGACCTAGATGTTCACTAACTTTGTTTCTTCTTGTTCTCTTTTGGCAGGTCGGACTTCACTTAGCATGTTAAAGACTGTCATTAATTCACTGACTTTTTTTTCTTCAACCTGATCTGCATTCTGTTCAACATGAGCTTTTCACAGACATCAGCAGCGTACCAGGTTTCAAATATTTTGAGCTTTGTAGAATCTTCATGTGTACAGAAGTGTTCCACTCCACTCTTCTTCAGAACTATGTACAATGTAGTTACCATATCCATCTGTGTAACAATAGAAAGTCTGCCATTCCAAATCTTTCACTGACTGCATTTGACCTCTTGGCGCTGGTTAGGCTGGGGCCTTTATGCTGGTATTGATGCTTTTTTGAAGTGCTCAATTGCATCAGTAAATCCTGACTTCTGACAGCAAAGAATCAATCATTCAGCAACCAAGTGCCATTGAAGGCAGGTGATTGTGTTCCGTCATGTCTGATTTACTGTATAATATACATATTATTTTATATTTTTAGGGGAAGAAAATGTGCTGCTATACGGTTTGAAATAATTTTAACACTTAACATTTTCGGAAATAAATTTCCCCAAAGAAGCATTTGTAATATCCTGGTAAAATCTTTGGAACTGTATAATAACATTAGTACGGGACTTGTTAAAGATCAAACTATGGAATGAAGAGAAATCTGTTAGTTTAGATCTAGGTTTTGAAGTTCAGTGGTCACATGAATACATGTATGTGAGAACTATCTTAAAATGTAACATCTGATCTGCTTGTAATTCTACTTCTGATGAGGGGATTTCCCTGAGTTTGATGGCTAGCCCTGTGTTTATAAGCATTGTTCATTATGGACTCCTGAAAGCTTTCAGAATGCTGCAAAAATCTTGTATTGGAAAAGGTGACAGGTATGCCACCTCCCCCCACCACTTTTGACAAGCCCTGATCTGTTCCTGTTGGAATTCAGAAATGGGACCTAGCTGCTGAGCACCTATAGAGATCTACTGAGGGCTTAAAAGGGAGGAGAGGGTATCTACCTGAACTGTGCTGTGCAAAGAGAATTTAGGAACATGACATGTCTTAAAACAGCACATTGCAAGAAGCAAAGAATGTATGTATGTATTAGAACTTGACAATATGCAAGTCTGTTAATGGGTAGTATAGTTTTAGCTCATTCAAATGATGATGAGACTACTTGTCTTTCTTGGTTTCTCCTATAGTGCCAGATAAGATGTTTCCATCTTCTCAGCAGAGGGCATTGAAAGAATTATGGTAAAATTAGGTTGGCAGGCAAAAGTCAAACCACTTATGTTGGATATCAACTGCTTTTGTTTCACATAGACATTTTAAGCTATATTATGTCTTAAAAGCAGGATGGATTTCACAGAGACTAAAGCAGAGTGTACCCTTTAGTCTTGTTTTGCTGCTGTTTGCTTTTATTTAATTTTGGAGTTAGTTTTTGGATTCTGAACATGTTGTGCTGGTAGACATATTACAAACACTTAACTGCCATAGCATATATCCAAACGTTATGAATTGACTTCAGATTTTTTTTCTAAAGAAGTTATCTGGAATCTTTCAACTGTAGCAAAAGAAATGGGGTTTAATTTAATTTTTTTTAATGTTGCACTATTTTTGGGAGCATTTTTGTTAAAAATATTTAATAAAGATTGAAAAGTTGCATTTGTTTAATTTATTATGTATTTCCAAGTTTCATAATTCTCTGATTTTTCTTACTGTGCATATACATTGCCAGGAAAATGAACTGTGAATTTGCCATATGCAGTCTCTAATAATGGGACTAATTCAAAGCCACTCTGTCCCACCCTATCAACTATTCACAGCTTAAATGTGTATTCTGAATAAAGCACCTACTTTCCTTTCATTTTATTTCTAAAGCAGTTGTCTTAGGGAGGAGTGTCAACTATTAATTGCCATTGTTTTATTAGACATCAAACATTTTTGTATTATTTCCTCATTCTGAACTATATATAGCTTGAATGCTATAGAATAAATTTGGTCCCATGGTCTTGATTTGAAATCTGTCACCGAGCAATTTTTAAGTGTAGCTCTAGTTCAAAAAATTATGTGGTCTTCACATACATCAGAACAAAAATAAAACCTTTCAATTATACATAACAGTTTAGACGGTTATCTTGAGAGTCATTGATAAGTTAGCTTTGATGCCTCTTAATAATCATGTTAGTGCTGATCAGCCAGTCAGTTCATCTAGCTTAGATCACTTAAGCGCCTCCAAGCTAATTTTTAAAATTATGACTATAAGATGACTTTCTATCACTGAAATGCTTAAGGGGTATGTTATACCGTAATCCTAAAAGAAAGAGTTGCTGGGCGCGCCTACACATGCATTAATATGCCTTTTCTAATATGCATTAAACTTAGTACCTTCAATATGAGGTGCTAAATTAATATGCATCAGGTAGTGTTAATGCACAGTAGCGCATATGCACACTTTAGTGATGCTTAATGTGCAATAGACTCTTTTACTGTGCATTAAAGTGCAATAAATGTCACAGTTACTAGCGTAATGTCACAGTTTGTGATGCTTTAATGCGCAGTAGTCTACTGCACATTAAAATGTACATGTAGATGCACCCACTGTTTACCTAATTGATCTAATTACTGCATCAGTATAACTTATTCTGCTTTAAAAACTTTGTTCAGTGAGACTATTTTAGTTGAGATTTAATTTCACACTCTTCAGTTTCTGTTTAGCTTTTTTTAACCACTTTCATAGTATCTTGCACATTTTATACATAGAAGTGAAAATCACGTCTCTGCTACGCAGAGCTCAAAGGCCTGTAATTTACTATTTTACCCTATTTAATGGTATTTTACTCTTTCTTTTCTCCCTGAATATTGCATTTTATATTTATTGTAGATAGTTTTTTTAGTTAACTGACAAAAATTGTTGTTTAAGTAGTTTAGATTTAACTTCATAGCTAACATTTCATGCACAGGACATGTTTGAGTAAAACTGGAAATGCTGTTTATGAACAGAAAATGTTTACAATATGAAAGTAAAATATGCATTTTTTTGCTATTGATCAATAATGTGTTGCTGCTCAGTTGTGTTTCTGTAACTGATGAGTTCTTAAGTTGTATTTATCCTTGAATTCATTTTTTATTAGCTAAAATATTTTTTTCCCTGAAAGTAAGGAATAGCTTAAAAGCTGGAAAAATTTTGGCTGATATGTGATTCTAAGTGTTGTGTTTCACGAAACGGGTGAGATTGGGTTATCCTGAATGCATTGGAAGGTTTTTAAAATGGATCCTAACTGTATCATTGTCTGCCCACTTCAGTCTTCTGACCTTCT